GAGCGATACAAGTTTGGTTGTCACGTACCTGTGAAGACCGCTGTGCAGTCCAGCGAAGAGGAAGGAGGCGGCCATAGCCGCGGAGCTCGACCACAGAGTAACGGAGAAGGGTGAAAGAGAGAACAGGGGGAGAGACCGAAGAGAGAAGTGAAGCGGAGGAAAAAGAAGGGAGAGCCGAGAACACAAAAAAAGAAAAAAAAAGAAAAGAGAAGACAGTCGGGGTGAAGAAGAAGGAGATGAGGAAGGAGGAAGGAAAGAGAAGGTTGGGGAGGAAGAAGAAGTCGGCCACCATAGCCGGATAGGAGTTGACTGGAGTTAACCGGAGTTGACCGGGCGTTGACCGGGGTTGACCGGGAGTTCACCGGGGGTTGACTGCAGCATTGACCAAGCATTGACCAAGGCATTGACCAAGGCATTGACCAAGGCATTGACCAAGGCATTGACCAAGGCATTGACCAAGACAGTTGACCACGAATTTGACCAAGCTGGAGCCGGTATAATCTCACCAAGCCTTCAGCCTATCCCCTTGCCCTATGGATGTGCACACACCCTGTGGTACTTGCTGAGTCAAGTCTGTCTGTCTCTTCTGGCTGAGTAGGGCTAAAGACTGTGTCTGACGACTCGACTGTCCCGGAGGACACGAACCCTCCCAAGGACCGGTACTGACCRGCGGGCTGCTCGGTGTGGCACGGTAGGCCCAAAATCCGAGCTGTGGGCTGCACAACAGGCCGTCTAAGTCTTGAGAGGACCTGCTGATCGCGTCGTCCTGTCTGTGACGTTAAAAAATTCCTGAGGAGTTACGGGGGATCTCCTTAAATGCCTCCTGATCAGCAACAGGTCCTGTAGTGACAACCTTAGAGTAGGTCCAAGCTAGAGACCCGAGTTGACAGGATCATGTCCGGATTCTGTAGTCCTTAGATTGAGTCAATAGGTCTTGTTAGTCAGGGGGTAGAGTCTACGTGGCGAGGAGTGGAACCACTGTCTGGTTGTGCACCTAACACCACGGTTGACACATGTGGAGGGAAGAGTACTAACCCTTACACCTAGGCTCAGGAAGAGCAATTCGCTGCCATTCTGAGAGAGAGAAGGGAGAAGAAGGAGAAGGAGCTCCTCAAACAGGCAAAATTAAAGGCAATTGCAGAGGAGCAGGCGGCGAAGAAGAAAAAGTTGGAGGAGATGCTAAGGTTGCAGCAGGAAGAGGAAGAGAAAAGGAAGGTCGTTGAAGAAGAAGCGGCAGCAGAGGAGGAGGAAGTCAAAGAAGAAATCCCCGAAAGAAGGCGTAGGGACGAGAGGGGAGAAAGTAGTGGCATAACGGCGGAGGACAAATGGATGGAAAAGAAAATTAGTGAGTGGGTGATTAATTTAATAGCTGGGAGAGGATGAGGAGGAACTTTTGTATGTTCCTCGGGAGGAGAGAGAAGCATTTGCCAGGGAACTGGAAGCGATGAGGGACCCCCTGGACCGTTAGACCGCGGGAGATGAGAAGAAGTTGGAACGGAAGTTGCGGCTGGCCAGGGAGAAGAAGAGAAGGAGGGAGGAGGCCAACCGGGTGGCCCAAGAGGTGGAGAAGATCCGGGCGTGCAGGCAAGAAGTCCAAGCACAAGAAGAAACCCCTGCCAAGTTAGATAAGATTTTGGGGTATCTTGAAGTCTTGAGCATCAGGCCAATAAGGGTCAACATGTGACCCTTCATGCCATCCGGTCAAGGTTTAGAGAGTT